ACCAGCTGCCAGAATTCCATGTGTGCCAAGTGACCACAGAACTTTCACAGTCTCTCCATGCCCCCTCAACACTATCACCAGTTTCGTAGGTGTCACCATAGCCAGGCCTCCTGTGGCTGGCTACAGGTGTACTTGGCAGATGGGGGAAGTACTTCCGTGTATGTTTATCTTATTGATTGCTAAATGAAGTTCTGTTTGGCCAATGAAACAGCAAGTTAGACAGGACTAGGAGTCAAAGAGGATTCTGGGAAATGGAACAGAGAAGTGGTGATCCAGGCCAGAAGTGACATATAAATATAAGCAGACTCATATTTAACAAGGAGAAACATGAAGTGGCCTCTTTACCCCTTCACATCCTCCAGTGGCAGGATGCGAGCCAGCGGCAAGAGAGGGCAATAGTGAAAGGCATCCTCTATAAGATAAGTCATAGAATATATATAGATTTATGATAAGACTGAGCTAACAGATGAGGATCCTAGTCATTAGCCAAGCAGCATTTGAACCTAATACAAGTCTCTCTGTGTATTAATTTGGGCCCTAACTCAGGTGGGCAGCTGGTGTAAAGCACACACGTGGTGGTGGGGCTCTGTAGCCTTTGGTGGAAAGATTTATCATGACAGAATGGTGTCTATGAGCGGGATGACCCCATGCCCCAAGGTACCCAGAGAAAGAGGGAAACCTGCTGGCACAGCCTGCCCTGTCGGGCCACTGAGAGATAATGGAGTAGCTTCCATATGCTCGCACTCTCCTGGCTCTTCTGGAGTTTAGACATGGCACTCCTAAGATGATAAAGACAGATCCAGATAAAGAAAAACCTCTAAAATTTTACATTGAATTTAAAAATATATGTAGGCTTATGAGAGAAAAATTAACAGCAGCATATGGAATAGCCAGTTGTAGTGGTGCAAGCCTGTAGGATTTGCTAAAGGAAGCAGAGGCAGGCAGATTTCCACCAAGAAACCCTTTCTTGAAAAAAAGGAAACAAAAGAAAGTAAAAATAAAGCAATAAAAAAGCCACATAAAGATGGAAAATACACAGAGAAAAGAATCTAGATACTATATACCATATTGTTGTCTTTAAATTGTTTGATTGCTGAGGAAAGAGTTACTGCTCCTAAAATATATTTGATTATAAATGCTGCTTAATTAATCCAACTTATAAATTTTAAAAATGTTTTGA